GCAACCGGCATTTGGCCAGTACTGGGTCATGATTGGCTGTTGGGTCCAGATTGTTGACCAATCAGATCTCGTCCTGAAGCCGGACCGGCAAGCATCCCGAATTTTGGGCCAACCTCGAGCGGGCCAGGCTTCTCGGCCGTAGCAGCGCCTAAAGACGTGCGGTATAGTGGGATCCGCGTGGATTCCTGCCTAACACCGGGTAGGCGGGAACAAACGGGAATGCGCTTGACCAACATTCGGGCAGTTATACTCAGCAACAACGTCAACGTGGGTTGAATCTCATGGATACCCATGGAACTTCGATCGTGGAAAAATGGAGTTCGTGTGACTAGAACGGCATTGTCAGCAAAGAAAAAAATGGGTACAAGAAATCGATACTGTCATATTTCATATCCTGAACGTACTGATCGCTCACATACATGTGGTAATGCGGAAAACCGCTTCTCTCTATTTTTGTGAAAGCTCATTCTTTGGATGGATCGGCACTAGATCATGAGTGATGGATAATATCTTCGAAGAGTGAGGTCTTCCAGAGTAGAATCTTCCAAGATTTCTCGACAAAAGTGCTAACCGTACTCGACCAGTGAACATAACAAACTCATTGTAAAGTTTAAAAAGCGTTTGCAGACGGTAGTTCTGATCAGATGAGCAAACTGAAAAGCGGACAAACGAGACCACTGTCACCTACGACTGAAATCCCTGCGAATATCGCAGATTCCGGTCGGTTCCCGGGAATGGACGTAGTTTACCTACCGGAACTGCGTAAAACTGCTCGAATTACAAGGTCCAAGTTGAAACCGAACGACGCTTTAGGTACTTATGCACTCCGTATTCGTCTTCAATGTAGACACGGCCCCACATAAAAACCGGCGTAATTGGTGAGTGGAGGTTCGGAAGAATCTTTTGGTCCGGTTCCTCGACTCGGGTAAAGGATACAACTCCAAGTCAACTGGAAAAGTATACCAAAAATGTTAGAAAGCTTATGGGAATTGTACAATGACCTTGAAATGTAAGGTGGATCAGTCACGTGGAAGATGCATGAGTATGAAAATCTTCATTCACATCAATCTCACTTGAACGCCCCTTTGTGTCCTGGCAGACGGAGAGCACTGAGCTCAGGTGTCATTCTCATTAGAACTCATCAGTGGTCCGTTTTCATGACCGTGGGGAGTTGAGAAGTTCAACATGTATTGCTCAGAAGGATCACGTGAGTCCCTTCAAAGGTGATAATTCAAGTGCGTCTAGTGTTCGTTGATGGAGTGGTGGTAACATGCCAGCCTCGCATCCCGACACGATCATTGTTGACGAACTTTACTGAGAGCGAAATTCAGGTCCGGTGCTTCTAACCTCCTGGGACTGGACTCACTGGAATAATTGCGCCATGACAGGAGGACGACTGTTTAAGCGAACGTAATGTGGATGTGAGTTCTACACAATCCGCGACCACATACAACTCGTATGAAAATTCACGAAACATGGTAAAAGTTTTGCCATGAACAGTGAAACAGTGTTTTGCTGCGTTACTGAACGAAAAAGTCTCAAAGCTTACTTTGAATTCCAACACGCCACGAAACCGTAGATCCAACGTTTGAGGTCGTTCATCAGATTCTGAACAATGTAGCAGCGTTCGGCTGGGTGATGTTAAATTGAAAAAAAACGGGGATCTATTTTAGATATCACAGGATACAAAGAGAATGGTACTTTAACACAAAAATCCAATTCATTGAATTATCTGGCCGTTCACCCATTCAGGTGATGATAACAACTTTACTCATTGTCCACACTGTATCACTGAGTGTCTATTGTTACATTATATAGATTATACATTATATAGTAAATTATATTATATATTTCCCCAAGTCTCATGTGTACATAATGACCAAGTTGAGTCACAGGAGTCTCAAAGAGGTACCGAACGAGATCTTTTTTCGAAAAAGCACGCTCATCTGGCGCCTGAGCATTCGAAACGGTCAAAGTGGTGATTTGCGTGCTCGTAAATATACCGTCTAAGTCAAGGTGACCTTCCAGTAGGATTGGTCGCTCGAGGGAGCACTCCTACTGGTTGGATCGTCCACTCGTGACGTGAACGCCTGACTTACAGGCGGCCTCAAGCAATACGTCGCGCACTAATGATGTAGCCTCTATTCGCGCCGAAACGTTTGCAAGCCCCATGCCCGGTTGCTCCACTTTCAACCTTATGGCATGATATGGCCTTGAGGAACAAAGCACCGACCAATGTGGGCCGCGAACTCAAGCCAGATCAACTTGTCAAGGTCGCAGCTCTTGGTCTGGTTATTTGAAAACGGATCAGACTTTGTGTCTGCGGCACATACTACTGGAAGCTGTATAGCAGACGCCTCCGAAATCCCGCGCCTGTCGATGAGCTTGAATGTTCCTCAATATTACAAAAACGCGGATTCTTTAGTTGTAGAAGAGAGGAAATTTGTGTGTGTTCCCGTTAGGATCTGCTTATTCCAGCTATTGTTGCTACTGCCGAAGACAGAATTTTGCCAGGAAAGTTGGAAAGAAACATTATGGAGAACTGAGCGCTGTAAACAGAAAGTTGGGTTTTGTGCTTTGGTTGCATCCGACGTGCAGCCGGTGCAACCGAAGATCGATTCACGACTAAAATGTGGAAGACCCTACATCAAATGAAGACCACTTTTTTTGCATCTGTTGTGCGCTGTAGTGCCCTTTCGATGCCTAACTGCCATGCCACTTGAAGGTTGCACGAGGGCTGGGATACTACCAGGTTGCCCAAGCCTAGACAGAGGAAGTCGAGAGGCAGAGGTCGGGTTCGACCCACGGACCTTTCGGTCTGTGAATTCGCGCTCTAATCACTTGAGCCATCATAAAGTCACCCAGCCGAATCAGACAAGTTATCTAGCTGAGAAAAGTCGTTTTAGGTCTAGCTGCCAGGTAACCCGAATAAATCACTACGACACTAGCAAGCTGGTTCAATTCCAATCGAGAAATCTAGGATGGTTCTGAGCTGTGTGCCTCTCGGATAGATGCATGAGGCATTCGGCCTTGAATGTCCTAACAAGATTCCTATTGAAGAATCAACTTGGTCGATACATGCATACACTGGAGCACAAGACGAAGGCACAGCGAATCACTACGCACTCGTGAGAGAAGTCTCTAGCGCTACAGAACTCACTCAAAGTCACAGTGGATAGAAGAATGGACCAGGTTGTCGAGGAATCTTCGACTGGGATAGGATCTGAACGATCGTTTCCGGCTGGTGCGGACGTTGTTGATTCTCCTTGCACAGTTGAGGTGGCAAATTTTACACGTAAAATCGGAGGTTCCAAATAATCGACTGAGTCATCATCGGATAATGCAATGTCCGTTGTCATGCGCGACAGTACCGAACCACTGGTTGCCCGCAAATAGTCGACGGAATATATTGACTGGGTTTCTTGTTCCGTAACATGAGTGTCTGAAACAGCCGCGGACTGAAGCGCTCTGGTAGTTGGGAAAGGTAGGTCCGCCGACTCGGTTGAGGGATTCGCTCCACCAGCACGAGCGGCATCTGCGACTTTTGTGTTGATCAGATAGGTGAGCAATTCTGCCCGAATTTCCATGTGGTTTCGACGAGAGTGTGTCTAAGACGAAAGATTGGAGAGAAGATAACCGAAACCAGATGAAAACTCTCACAGTCACACTACCATCATCCTGTATCGGAACTACCTCTCAACTGGATAAGTATCGTACTCAACGAGGGAGTTTAGGTCAACAATGGAAGTTGGGAGAACATGCAACCAAGTGTCCGAACAGTCTGGCCTAAGAATCCAATCCATCTAGAGCAGGACAAATGAAGCTCACCTGGAGTAAGTGGATGTAGCTTTGTAGTAGGGGAGTGAACTCGGGATTCAAATTGTCTTGCTGTAGAGTGATTAGATGAGCTTTGACGGCCGCGTAAGTGTGATAGTATCTGATGACAGAACACAGACAGAGAGAACGAGTTGGTACATACTCCAAAAAACTCTTAGTTGAACATAAGCAAGAAATGGAAGAAAATAACGGAGAACCGGTGTAGTTTTTTCATAGGTTCGTCGTTCGTGACTAATGCTCACTGTCGTTTAAATGTACAAGCGTGCGAACTCATACTGAATACTCACAGAGCAGAGAGAACCTGACTGAATCGTATGAAACAAAGGTCATGCAACCCAGTGAAGTCGTGACGAACAGGCTCGAATCCCTCACAGCTACTGTCCAAGTAAGCCAAATGACGTTTGCACGCCAAGTACATTCTGATTACCTATTCAGACTTGATTCTATTTGGATTTGATTTATTTCGATGCTTGGAAGAGATCAGCGATTAATGCACGAAACTAATGACCGGAAGTTCGGTTAGTCCAATGCAACCCTCGTGCTTTCCACATATTTCACGGAAGCCACAGTTGGGCGAGTTTTGTATTCGATCACCGTATGATTTATCGTGAAATAAACGGCCGAAATGAGGGGTCGTCAGTATTCACGTTACGCTTCAGTCAATAGAAGTTTGCGGAGTTTATCCGAATATCTTTGGACCCCAAGTCAACAAAGCGGCATGGATGTTGGAACCCCAAGGCTGGTTCAGCGGCATGGATGTTGCGGACCAGCTATTTTCATGGATCAGATGGATAAAATAAATTGCTCAGCTGCAACAGTGCCACGACAGTCGAAGAAAGCACAAGGGCTACGAGAATGTCAGATCACCCAAGCCCAACCAGTAGCAATCGAGGTGAGAGGGTTGGGTTGGAACCACGGACCCCGTCCCCTAGCTAGTAAGCTCGCGTCTTAACCATCGAGCTGTCTCGAGCTCCATCAAAAACATATAAAATAGTGCACAGGCACCGATACGTGTTGCTATTGTAGTGTTGTCATTATCCCCGTTGATGGCATGTGCTGGAATGGAGACGGAAAGTCAAGGTCGAAGGGCGCCTCAACTGTCCACAGATGCAAGCCGCTAACCATATTCGAACAGTTTGCCATTCTAACGTCAGTGGATTGCGACCTTTCGCCACGATGATCACAACTCTACTCAAATTGTAATGCTGGATCGCCAGGTTTGAAGTGGATCTACCTTGTCGTCAACAGGCGCTCTACGGGGCGACTTCAAGTCAGTTTGATTCGTCCGCCTCATAAATGTTACGTTAGGGTTCTCCACTCACACACACACACACACACACCACTCCATGCCACTGATGGAGCACACACTTTTCAGCGTGCCGCGGAACAAAGCATTGCGATTAAAGTAAGTGACATCGTCTGGCTTGTCATCATCATCATCATTGTCAGCTGTAAGAACCGCGCACTGGTCGTACACTGGTTGTAGCTGCCACAGTTTCGTTCACCGATGATTGAGCGCGAATTTACTGACCGGAAGGTCCGTGGTTTGAACTCGACCTCTGACTCTCGACTTTCCCTGTCTAGACTTTGGCAACCCGGCAGTATCCCAGCCCTCGCGCGACCTTCTTGTGGCATGGCGGTTAGGCACCGAAAGGGTGCTACAGCTGAACGATTCAAAACAAGAGAAAGGTTGGACAGCAAACGCAGGAAAGTTCAACAGGGGAGATGTTCAGTCCAACTAGCGTGCTACAGCTCTCCCCTGGAAAGTAAATCACCGAATCGAACACGAAACCGCCTGGAAGAAAGAAACCCTACGAAGCAACTACAGTGCTAACAATGTAAGAGAAAAATTCAAAGACGCCGCCAAGTCGTACGCTCCCAGCTGATCAATAACACCCGAGGACTCTGCAACCAGAGGGGTTCGGTTTGGTAATCATCCAATGGATTATACTGAATTGAAGTCAGTTCCTCAAGGTTCAACATGTCAGGAAAGCCAGGCCAGGTGCGCAGCATGACGAAGAACAGCGAATCTCCATGCTATGAAAAACCGTATCACGAGGCGGTCTGGAGGTGAAGTCGTACCGGATGAAGGCAGTAATGCGTTTCTTTCAGGCGACCAACATCTTCATACTTATGGAAACAGCGATGCTACGTTCCCCCGAGGGAGGACAGGTGAGAAAAGGCTAGCCTTAAAGGCTGTATACTTCGACCCTCCAAAGGTTGACCGTGACCGCTGGCGCATTATTCAATACGGCCGAAACGCTTTTAAAACCAGAGTTAGGTGCTTCTCAAAAGGCACCTGCTGTGCGCAGCCGTATTAGGACTCTAGCAGTGATGCCTTCCTCCCTGAGCCCTCGGGTTAGGTCTGCAGTCGAGTGGGTCGGACTGTTGATTCACCTCAAGAAACATAGAACTACGGCCTCAAGGTCCGGATTTTTGGTGTCTAGGAGGAAGATCCCCAAGAAAAATGCATGCCCCCACAGCCCTGAGGATCAGGCTTTTGAGTCTTCATATTAAGCAGACAGGCTTGATCCCGAACTAAACCCACTTATAAATGACATTTCTGTCCTCGGGAGCTGATCCAACTGATGCTATCGGGGCTACAAAGACTAGTGCTACTTACTTTTCTAGAATTTCGAGGGCCTCATCACGCAAATACGCTGGTATCGGTGCTTCGAGGTCTGTCACTTGGCCACCAGGCTTCAAATTTCTACATCGTGTTTCCTCTCTGGGTGGATTCGACTCGGTGGATCCAGTGCGTAGTTTGACAGAGTCATGTTGCAGCAAAGACGAAAGGCGAGAAATCGCTGCCTGCGCCGCGGACGGATGAATATAAACCTCGTTTGGTGGCATGACCAGTTCGTACACTGTAGTCGGCTGATACCTGTCAGGAGGCGAAACAGAAGAGGGAGTCGGGAGGATGCATGAAAACACTGTGAGGAGCATCCTACCAGTTAAGGCGATTACGTTAAGGGATCGACAATGGATAAAATAAGAGCAAGTTAGTGATTTGAAGGTCCTCATAGGTATTCGACTGGGACACCTTGAACAAAGTATAAAAATCGTTCAGCTTTAACACCCTTTCGGTGCCTAGCTGCCATGCCACCCGAAGGTTGCACGAGGGCTGTCAGGTTGCCCGAGCCTAGACAGGGGAAGTCGAGAAGCAGAGGTCGGGTTCGAACCACGAACCTTCCGGTCAGTAAATTCGCGTTCTACTAACCACTTGGGTCATCTCGCCCGCAACAAAGTATAAAAATACCTAGACAGGTTATCACCCCGAACACAGTGCGGCAACTTCATGTTATGCCAAAAAAGCAAATCCGCACCGAGTGTGCAGGTCGACAGACATCAATCCTATGTGATCAGTACCGAACACTGAGTTTTTAATACGAATAAAGATGAAACCTGGAGCTGAAAGGTACTTGAGATTATTCAATACGGCCGCCAAAAGAGTTCACATCTTGTGCAATCACAAACTTGTCTAACTACGAGCGGTGGCCAACGGAAAACGTTGAAAATTATCGTCATCCGTGAGGTAGTCGCGTTCTTGTTTACAAATTTCTCACAATTAGCCCATAATTAGCCTATAATGCCGCACGAATCAGAAATCCCACCATTGATTCGGACCTCTCAAGTGTTCCACGGTGGGGGGGGGGCGGAAGGCTCACCTGAACACAGCGACTTTACGATCAAAACAAAAACAGTGTTGCAGCGCTTTGTGTGCTGAATGTGGACAGGCTAGCTGGCAACCCGCGACCGAAGGAGTTCGGTCGTCCTGACGAAACGGAACGGTGGAAGATTCCGGCGCATTGTTATTCGCCGACAGTGGTCGTATAGCACAACGTCCCCATTCAGACGGAGTGTTGATCAGCAAGTTTAAAAACTTAACAAACGAATAGTGCCATGTGTCACCGGACATGAACACAGTGGGCGAGTTGGTTCCGCATATGGTGCAGGCAAGCCACATCAGAATGCGGCTATCCGGACGCGTGTTTGACGATTCCGATGGGGAGCAACAGGTTGGACGTGGTGGATCTTGCGGAAGTTTCCGAATGTATAGTTGAACCGCACCAGCGGTTTGAACAAACGGTTGCATGTGTTCAATCATTGGCCAATTGCAGTGTGGATGGCGGCACGGTTGTTGTCTACAAACAAAGGATAGACGGCAACATGAGTGTGTGTGTGTGATACATTTTAGCCGCGGAGGCAAACACCGCAGAGAACTTACGAAAAGCAACATTTTTCCAAAAATAGACCAAGTGGTAAATCTTGCGGTCCGTAGTATTCGACCGAAGCGATCCATGGGGGGACGCATGGCTCTGGCCAGAGTGGAGATTTGAAGCTGAAAAGTGTTGTCAGGAAACTGAACCACTGTTGTGAACGAGGGTCCAGAATGCTTCGTTGAAGGCGCTGAAAGCGGTGGGTGGGCGGGTATGGTAAGGAACAAGTCGTACAAGTAAAATCAAAAACACAATGCGCACTCGAGAAATACACTCATTTGCAAATCAATTTGATTTTCACGAGAGACTCAACTGAATCTCTCGTTCGTGATATTCTACAACTGAATGTGCTGTACACAGGCCACCTCATGTTACAGTTGGCACGAAGAACATCATAAACGAGAGATTCAGTGGAATCTTTGGTGAAAAACGAATTGATCTGCAAACCAGCGTATTTCTCGAAAACCGTTCAATTTGGGTTCAAGTAGAACATAAGGTTGACGGAAACCCGGGGACTGCGCCTACCTGATGAGCCCCAAGAAGGGCGAAACCGGTCGTGGGTTGTCGAACAGTTTTCAGCAACCTTGTGAGTAGTTTCCTTTATGACAATGCCTACTATTGAAGTGAACGACCCTCCAGGGGTATCCGACTACGAAACTATCCTGAGTACAATTCTGTTGTCATTTTTTTAACTTGTGTGGGTTATAATGTACGGGCGTTTCTAAGGTGTCCAAAAATGTCCTATCAGGCACACAGATAGTCGTAAGACAAACAGTGGAGCAGAAATCGCACAGCACCAAAAAGGTGTGCCGAAACGTCGCCTAGCAATAAATAAGGAGGTAAACATGTCAAATAGCTAGAAATAAAATCTTTTTAATTCTTTTGAAGTGGCCTTCATGGGTTTACCACCCTCGAAGAGTATGGGATGTGTGCATCGGGTCCAACGGGATCATAAATCCAGTAAAATTTCCTAAAGCGAAGTCCTGAAAACCTAAAAGTTTCCAGATGGGCGGCTGATATCCGACAAAGATGTTCAACTTGGTCGCCGACGAAATAATGAGGTGAAACCTGGAGGGTCTTCAAATCGCAGCTTCTGAGAACTTTATCGATCTGGATTATCATCATCATCATGGGCATCAGTGTTCAACACCGAAACTTCACTGACGTACAAACATGATTTATTTGAAAGCCATATTGCGGAGAAAAAGGGTGGACGGGGAGGGACTTAGTGCTAGCTTACTACAATCATTCCGAAGTGCCCCCAGACACTCATTCAAAAAGGTTGGATGGAAACTGACAACAAGAACGCCACTGACATCGGTTGGCAGCCGTATCTTGGAGCGTCTCCGATCAGGCGCGGTCCTCATCCTGAAAGGCGAAGGGCATCGACAGCACCGAAGAGTCTTGTCATCTCCTTCATACCTCTCTGTCAGCTCAAGAATACGCAGGCGACATCACCCTAATCTTCGAAGACCAAAGTGAAGTACAGGTTGTGTTAAATAAACTGACCACCATCATACCATCTTTCGGCATGTGTCTAAAGCTTGCAAAGTGCAAAGTCGTACTACAGAACGTACTGTCTCCGAATGGTTCAACCAAAATCGTTAGAGGTTGTAGAGAATTTTGCATACCTTGGTAGTTGCACACGCTCTGACGGAGGTGTGTCTGATGAAATCGGTTCACGAATCTCCAAGGCCCGAATCACGTTTAACAGTTTGTGTCACTTGTGGCGTCACTGGGTCTTAAAGATCGAGTGTACCAGGCTACAGTGAAGGCTGCCTTGTTGCATGACTGCGAGAAGTGGCTTCTGAGGAGGAAAGATGAGACATCTTTAGGTTTTTGACCATCGATGCCTCAGAGAGGCTACTTCCGAGAGGAGCTAGATAACTTTTTCCGTAGTGTTCTCCTTCACTCCCGTAAGATTGTCGTGTTAAAAACCGGTTGAAGGGAGCCGCGGACCACACGACTTCCAGATGTGCTATACTGAGGAAAAATCCAACTAACCCATTCCGGGAAGACCAAATGACGAGAAGCGCTAAATCCAGGAAGGAGACTTGTCACTGAAAAATACATTCAAATGATCAAGCAGGCTACTTACATAGTGAAGGATGACATTATCTAAGAGGAGTTTTTCCCCCGTGGGGGTAACTGGATCGCCAGAAGGGGCATGTAGCTTCTCTCGACAGTTAAAGTCCCTCCTTAAGGTCCGTTCAGGTGTGACCTGTTCCAGAAACCTACATTCTGAGATTCAGCGGCCCGTACGACAGTGCTGTAAACTCCAATCCACGTAGAACTTCAGCAGGGTAATCTTGGCCATTAACGTCACCAGAATACTTGAAAGGGCTAAACGTAGAAGCCACAAACCCGGACAAATGCTAATAACTGATTTCGAGATATAGAACTGAGTCACCCGTCCGAAAGAGTCAGCTTTATCTTCCCTGCCGGTCAGTTAGAGCATGACACGGCAAGGCGACTATTAAGAGGATCGTCATGGAGAGACAGGTGCCCCCCCACGAAGGGATTGGCTGCTCATCAGAGGGATATCGCTTGAGGTCCTCGTAGCAAAATGTAATTAATTGTTTCGGTCACCAGTAGAACCAGATCGCTTACCCGGACACCAAACCCGGGATGAATAGTCCGATTCCACCTTTCCCCGGACAGACCAGAAAGCCCCTTCCCCAAAAGTCTCCTCGTATCTTTCGGTGGAAAACTGCCAACATCCCTCGCACACATTCATATGAATAAACATACAGAAAACTGAGCGGCAAAGCATTTCCAAACTAGACGTGAGATGTGAGACTTACTTTAACTTGCTGTAATTCGTTATGACTAACTGCAGGAGGTGCGTCTGATGAACCGGAGGGTTTGCCGACTGCCGCCTTGCCAGACTGCTGCTGTTGCTGCTGATGCAACTGTTGCTGAACAACGCCCAAGAAACTCTGTCGAACGGACTTCAAGGTGTCCTTTCCCACGGACATCAACTCCAAGAGGTCAGTAGCAAAGCTCCTGGGGTTGCGTAAGACATTTCTCTCATTATCATTGTATGGTGTTGTGAAAGCCCGAGCTTTGAACATCACATACGCGGTTTCATCTTCCGGTTGTAACGTCTCCGACATCAGTAACGCGTTCAGATTTATGCTTTTATCCATTACACCGCAGTTGTGCAGTTGGGATCGCTTCGCCGGACAGTTGGTCAGAAGTTTGATCAATTCGGTTGAACGTGACTTCAAATTACAAGTCAAGAATTCCGGAAGCCCATTAGTTGACCATTCTGTGCACTGGATTTTCTGAAGACGTTTCATCTGCTCTAGTACGTATAATTCTGAACGGAGAACCTGAACACGAGTAGTTTGAAACGCGTGTGTTACGTGCCGATTAGGTAACTGGGGTGTAAACACAGCGGAAGTCATGTAATTGGCGAGGAAGATACAACAGTGTGCACAATACCGGGACTCGCTAAGGGTCCGAAAGCTCGATTTATCTCAGTTTTCAATCTGTAAACTGATCGACCTCGAGGTCCGTGGTTCGAACCAAGCCTCGGTATCACGACTCCCCCAGTCTAGGTTTGGGAAACCTGGATGTAGCTCATTCTTTGTGTTTCTTTCAGCAGCTTGGCAGCGAAAGTGTTACAGTTAGGTGATCATTTAATTAATTAATTAATTAATTAATTAATTAATTAATTAATTAATTAATTAATTAATTAATTAATTAATTAATTAATTAATTAATTAATTAATTAATTAATTAATTAATTAATTAATTAATTAATTAATTAATTAATTAATTAATTAATTAATTAATTAATTAATTAATTAATTAATTAATTAATTAATTAATTAATTAATTAATTAATTAATTAATTAATTAATTAATTAATTAATTAATTAATTAATTAATTAATTAATTCTGAAAAGATTGAGCTTGCTAGAGGCCAGTTCACATAATACGATCTTGGGGGGTCTCTGTTGGAGGGGATGCACAAATTTAGGCGCAGTTCCTTGTTTACGTCACTAGATGAGGCATGAACTGCTGTACCCGAGGTGTCATAGGAACAGAGCTGCAAAGCGGAGTTTAATCCGTTCTCAGTTGATCAATAACCTTGGTAGCGGTGAAAAGTCAGCGCACCTTTTGAGACTGCTGACTTCCGTTTCCATTCCATTCTGACCGCGAAAAACAATCTGAAAAAGAGTATTTGTTATTAAAGCTTAAGTTTCTGTTCAATAAAATACCGAAACTCACGAATCTGTCCAGTTCGGTCTCTGCTAGCTACAGATTGTGTACCAAGGTTTCAGTCACCACGACGAGAGGCGCATTGAATGTGATCACGGAGTGGACTCATTGTCGTCGAGTCGTCCACTCATAGTGGAGGAATTAGGATAGTTGCGAACCGAAGGCGACAGCATTACAGCAAGCACATCATTGGCTATTCCCATCCTGGATGATGGAAGTTGTCCACACTACCAGCCAAGACATTCACACCTCACTGCTAAGCAGTAGAGCGAAAAGCACTAGACTGTTTCCACCCTAGCTAAACAAAAAGGGCGGTAAGCAAAGCATGTCCTAAACAGCGAGGCCAACAAATGTGACCAGTCCGTCCCCAGTTCACCAAAAACACAATTGATGAATGAAAATTACGTCTGTTGGGTTCCGGATAGCTACGGTGTGAAGGTGGCCACCCGATACTAAAGTTCTACCGATTTTCCAATTGAATTCCTCACCCAAGCGCTCCTGATTTGCCCAACCCCTTCAGAGAGATCACTACCAATAGGGTGACTGGAGTTGGGGAGACAGGCTTTGATCGCTATCCTAGAGTTCACGGAAACCCTACCAGATAGGAAAGAGCTTTCCTTGGAGCCTTTCAACAAACAAACGAACAAAGTTGGCTAGTTCCCCTAGTATAGACAATCTCTTTTTTAACCGAAGACCGGCATGACGCACCAAAGGCAAAGTTCTGCAGACCAAAAAGTTAAGACCAACTCATAATCATCGAATGAGAGATCGACCTTGAAAAAAAGTCAATGATCTGCGAATCCGCTTACTAGAAAACTTTACAAGAATTTTGGTTGGACAGTGGCAAGCTGGACGGCCTTCACCTTCTTAAGGAATTCTCGCGCTCAAGACTGGATGTGATGAACTCACATGGGTGATTCTCTGCTTGAAAATCAACCGCTTCGCAATTGCACGTGGGCTGAAATTCTGCAGTGGCTACAGCTCTGATCTTATAACATAAAAGGCACATAACCCGCACTCGACTTCAGACTTTTTAAGTTGGAAATTCTGCCGAGTTAGCTTGCATTCACTATTCATTTAGGTGCATGCGCCCCGGTTCCAATATGGCAAATGGATTCCGTACGTATTCCCTGGCATTTTACCATTTTTCTGTAAGTCTGTTAAAACGAAAAGCTGGACTTTGCCAGAAATGACACAGGTGGGGGAAAATCCCTTATCTATAGAGGCAACACACAGCTGAGCGAACTACTTAAGCGGTTTAGTGGTGACGAAATGCTCGATTCATTCACAAATCAAGGCGTTCATAGAAGTGTGAGCTCGGTCGACGGAAGACATACCTTAGCCTTCCGTTTCAGCAGGTCATTCAATCGACGCCCAAACGGCCATTCGATCACATACGTGTAATAAGCAGCAAGCGGAGCCACCTGACCGTCTGTGGATGCGAGGAATGGAGGGGGAACAGTCACACTCGGGGAGATATCAAACAGTCGATTATCGAGGAGAGTGGATAACCGGAGGGGACTTCCGTCGCGGTTGGGTGGATTTGAGTCCTGAAGAATGAAGAAATAAATCAGACAGCGGCGTGACGTTTAACGGCATGGGACAAACAGGTATACGATGTGATGAAGGTAGGCAGACCAAAGGTTTGACTCATAAAGATGACAACCGCTCAGTTGTAACAGCCTTTTGGTGCCTAGCTACCATGCCATCCGAAGGAAGTACAATGGTCCAGCTAGTGCCAGGTTGCTCAGGCCGAGACGGGAACAGCCGAGTCAACCAGGTTCGGTTCGGATCACGAACCTCTCGGTCAGCAAGGTCGCGTTTTAACTACCGAGCTAACTCAAGCTCAAAAGGCTTGAAAGTTAGATTTACGTCCTAATTTGGACATCGGCAAAGTTTATGCCGTGATGCACCGAGATCTCTACGTGTGCAACATCCAAGTCAAGTAGGTGTGCAAAAATCTGGTCCAACAAAAGAGGTAAACTATTGAAGAAAGGGCGGATAGTTCTTCTCACGACTTCTACAAGACCCTAAGTGATTCACCTTATGTTTTTCTGTGTTCACTTTTTGGAGGCTGTGTGCCATGATTGAATATTGATTGAATCCATGCTACTCACAACACTACTGAAATGTTTGCCTGGCCATTGAAGTTTAACGGGTGACAGATTTACACCTAATCCACAAAATGATGAGAATGGATGCGATTGATTTAGAAGTGGAAAGCTGGAACACAGTGATAGTACCTCCTGTTTGGTTGGATCGTCTGAGACCGGTGCCGCCGAACTGCCGGTGGAAGCCTGACGCTGATGAAGTACACCGCAGTCTGAATAGAGTCCAATTGAGCGTACTGCAACCGGATGGTAGATGAACGCGTTCGCCGCATAGCTCTGCTCCAGACGACTGTTGTAGCACAGGTATAGAGTGAACATGAGGCAACGCTTTGCCCGATTTAGTACCGCCAGATCGGACCCACGCAGAAGGACTGTTGCCTCGGCTGTGGTATAGCGACTGGCCGACTGGGAGGAAGGATCCGAAGGTGTCGAGTTTAAGGCGGTGACGGAGTCTTTTGAAGCGTTCTTGATCAGTGTTAGGAATTTTGAGTAGCCTATAGTCGATCAAAACGGAACCACGTGTGTATGGACAGAGATGACCGGAAAAAACATGGCGATGTTTAAGATGACATGTAAGGATCACAGGTGAAAGTAGGGTAGGGACACAAGAACGTAAGCGAGGCTATGAAAAACATATGAATGTGCACAAAAATCAAAGAACTATTGAAACGCTCTAATCCATCAGCGACAGGTAGAAAGACTTCCACAACTCGTGTTGCTAAGGGACACGAAGGCGCTTTAACGAAGTGATCGTTTCCTTTTTGAAGCAATAGTTCGAATTCAAGACTGCATCCAGCAGGCGAAGGTTCCTGGTCAAAATACACTCACTAACGACCGACCATAAAATGCAATCAGGACTATAAGATCGTTCGGCTGTTATAAACCTTTCTGTGCCTAACTGCCATACCACTCGAAAGAAGCATGAGGGCTGGGATACTACCAGGTTGCCCAAGCCGAGTTCGAATAACGGATCTTCCGGTCAGTAATTTGAGCTCTGGCCACTGAGGTATCAGAACCGTAGATCAGTTGAAAACAAAGCCGTGAACAGGTCACGCACAGACACGGCCGTCACACAAGAAGCCTCGCAATCCATTTTAATAAAACGCAGAATTCGAGTGAATCTGGATCTGTTTACTTCCCTGCGGATGACCTGAAAAAGATGAAATCAAATTAACTGTTCTGGTCTGTTATTGCTGGATCTCACTCAGAGGCGATCCGTCTTGTTGACGACATTCATAAATAGACACGTAAATAAAACAATCGTTCAGCTGTAGCACCCTCTCAGTGCCTAGCTGCCATGCCACACGAAGGGCTGGGATACTGTCAGGTTGCCCAAGCATAGACAGGGGACGTCGAGAGGTAGAGATCGGATTCGAAACACGGACCCTCCGGTCAGTAAATTCGCTCTCTAACATCTTGATTCTCTCCCCCCCCCCACATTGTTAAGCGGCACCCGAGTGCCAGTTGTTCATGGGACAACTGAGGTCTCAAGGTTGCCCTGAGTAACCAAGACGAAAAATTATTCAATTTGGGGACAGCACAATACAGGACAACACTTGCAAAGTAGTCATAAGAATAACGGGAAAGTCAGTAAGATTCACAGCTGAACTCATCAAACTCCGCCATCCAGGCTCGCAAACGAAGAACCTGAAAAAAGCAACAGCAGACTCGAATCGGACAGATTTTCACAAGGGTTTAGAACGTTGAAACCCCTCCGTAGAACAACCTCTCACCAGCGGACCACTTCGATTGACCTCTAAGTGACAACCACTTTGCCGCTTTGAGCAAGTTGCGCAACGTCGAATACCCGACACTAATCAAATTGCAATAAAACAAGAAATATATGGCTGTTTACTACATTCATTCCCATTGGCCCCCAAGAAACCTGATTCAAAACTGATGAGCTGTTCAGTAACACAGTTACTTCGTTCTGTCGATGTTTCGCAGTAAGCAGACAGAATGAGGTACTGTCGAGCGTCTCGGGACTGCAGACAGCAATAAAAAACCTAGGCAGTGACACGTTGGGTGGTCTACGTTCACACACACTCACACACACACACAGTACAGTACAAGAACAAGACGACATTGATGCGCAAAAGCTAGCAAACAACCAACCATTTGGAAGCATTGTCTGTTCCACCTTTAGCTGTTGACTAACACCCAGCTGAGGAGTGTTCACACGTTGCGATGCGTTGCCACTTTTTGGAACGTTGGTGCTAATCAGTCGATCCACTGATTCCAGAATGTCAGCGCCGGTGATGCGTGCGATCCGAATTAGCACGGACTGAAAATAGAAATGTAAAACCAGTCGAAGGAAAAGGTGGAACTTCCGACTACTTCGGCGATTTTATATCAGCAAGCCAGCTGATTGATTTGAGTACAACCTTAACTCATTCGTTGCTTATACCCACTAGGATTGGGCAATTTGGTGTCACTTTGGCGGGAGCTATGTGTCACAAGAGCGAATTAGGGGCTAAAAGAAGTTGGTAGCAAGAACGGATCGCAATGATTAGCGTGATGTTGAACAGTCACTATGAGGCGTCCAACTGACCTAGGCCTTAAATTGACCGTATACGCCCTTGCTATCCATTGTGACGGCAGGCTAAACAGAAAGAGCATTGTAAAAACTGACCTGTCGATAAGCGAATTGCGTGCAACAAGTTGGTACTGAATCCGACTTATGCTTTGTTTTGATCAAATCGCCAGATGTTCAGACCTAGTCGGTAGACGCATGCTCTTCGGGGTGACAGTTTACAACTGCTGGTCAGGCAGTCACCTAACTGGTCCCATCTAAAAGGGAGTCATCTAGTGATAAACTCCGAAAACACAAAGTTACTGTGGTTTCGGCAAGCAAAAAAAATGAGAGACCAGTGGAGGTATGGCCGGCGATTGCGGACGATGGCACAATCACAATCCTGTTATCCGAAGAAACCCGATAGCAGCACAACGTTTTCGACGTTTCTGATAAAACAGTTAGTTCACCCGGCTTACGGATGTCTGAGTGAAACCCATCATCCTCAAAGTGAACATTCTGTAAGTGGTGATTAGATTCACACTCACCTGTTTCACATTGCAGAACAGTGTGATACCGGCCTTCAGAAGCAGTGTTTTCGCCACATGACTAACGCTCCCGCCGACGATGATCACCTTCGGTCGAAGTGCTAGCAGTTTGCTGACACAATTGGACAAATACTCTTCCTCCTGCGAAAATCGAAGAAGAGAGAGAAGCAAAGATGGTCATCAGGGATCATTATCATTGTCAGCAGTGGTTGTCAGATGTGGCCAGAAGAAGCGTGGACAGGAATTGATGCGATAGTAGAACAGGTTGCAGTCAATGGTACACTTAGGTCCGCAGAGCACTGCATGAACATCCTCAGTGCCACGCTTTAGCCCATAACGGTAAACCTTTTAAAACAAAAACAAGGACAAAGAGTGGCTAAAGCGCTACCATGTAAGCCACAAAAAGTTCAGTCAGACTCGGTTCACTTATGTGATAGTTAATCAGCCCGATGAATACCACTCGAATGGTAGTTCGACCAAACCACGGTAAGGTTCTTCCATTGGCTCCATGAGTTCGAGACGGTTCAGTGGATAAAACCCGAATTTATTGAACGGAAGGTCGCTGGTTCGAGCGAAACCTCTGAATCCGGACTGGCAGCAGTTCAGTCCTCGTGCTTCCTGAAGGTGGCCCGGCAGCCATGAACCAGAGAGGCACTGCCGCTGAAGGAAGGACGACTGGCCGCAATGCAGTCTTGATTGTCGTTTCCACTCGGAATTTCGTAGGTGACTGGGCGATGTGGAGAATCCACGTTCAAATTATTATTCTCACATGAACGGTCATCCTTCTGTTCTGGCGAATTCATAATAAACAGGAGGAACACTGGATTGGAGCTCATCGACAGTGCATATCCTTCAAAGAGCCGGTTTTCGAACTCCGGACATCAGACATGCGAGATGAGGGATCTACTACGACTCACCATTGCACGCGGGGCTGCTCACGCCTGAGCGATGTGACTGTTATGCCTGATGCCTCACCACCGTGTCATCTAAAATGAAGTTGAGTTGGCTGAACCCCTATTGCGTGAAGTGCCGACCACAATGAACTGGCAGATTCCAACTGATTTACGAATAGTGCCGATGATCCCAAAGGAATTCGCAATCGTTACAGCAACAACACCAAGATAGCACGAATGGTGGCTTGTGCACAAAAAGGCTATCTCCGAAGACACGGAGTGACCACACTGGAATGTTTCCTCATCGATTTATGTCACCAGTGCACATTATTGACCGGGAGCGAGTGTGAACTGGTCAGCTAATCGCACAAGAACTTGCCCATGCAGTGAAACCAATCTTCGCGCGCGCACGTCGACATACTGGATACTACATTTTGAAAAATAAGCTACAATGGGGGTGAGCCTAACCGAATCCTGTGACAATAAACCAACCAATCACAAGAAGCGATATACCATAAAGTTGCCAAAGCCTAGACAGCAGTAGTATAGATGCTGAAATCGCAAAAGAATGGAATCGTTCAGCTGTAACGCCCTCTCGGTGCCTAGCTGCCATGCCACCCGGAGGAAGCACGAGGGCTGGGATACTGCCAAGTTGCCCAAGCCTAGACAGGGGAAGTCGAGAGGGAGAGGTCGGGTTCGAACCACGGACCTTCCAGTCAGTAAACTCGCGCTCTAACCACTTGATCCATCTAGATGTTGAGATTGAGTTTGAACCACGGCACCACTGAGTTTTCTCGAGCTTCAGCGACATTCTAACAACTGCGGTCAGAACAATCTAGCAGGGTTTAAACATAATATAGCCCAAAGCCATGTTCAGGTCCCGATTATTCCCCAATCAGACGGTCGAAGAAAAGGGTATGCCAAATTATAAAGTAGTTTCGTGATCGAGACTGTGTTATGAATGCTCTTGTCCATATTCATCCGTTTTTATCGCTTGTTTTTTTGCCTAAAATGTATTTCTGACAGGTGTAGTTCATCTATAAGAACATCAGAACTGGCGTCGCCAGTTCCTCAAGTATCACCTGGCGCAGTGAAGATTGATTTCCTGGACCAAAGGTCACGCGAAAAGATCAATGGTTGTTTTGGAAGTTCTGAACCATGAAATAAACGTCCGATGAGCCGAAGGAAAGTAGCCTGAGCATCTGCTTACGATGCTGCAAACCAGAGAGGTACAGCAAACGACAATTTCCGAAATTTCGATTTCAATTCCAAACAGGAATGTTCAGTGAACATGGCCCAAGCTGTTGCCAATCTTCCTCTCTGTTTGCGACCAACGATATGTTCGGGCGGTATGAAAACTGCCACTTTCTTCACTATTTTGCCTTTATTTTCATCGTCACACCAAATCGCATTTTAGATTACGTCATTTGTGCTATGGGCCGCTAAGGAATGGTCTTGTAAACAGAATTTGCGACACGATTTCAACCACAAAGACCAGTTCGGTTGACAACAATGGATCACGTGACCACTCGTACACATATTGATTTCCCATGCTCAAGTTTTATCACACGCCATGCGACCTCTGAACCTGTGCTTACGTATACATGCCGCAGCACAGACGCGACCTTTGAGCTGTGAGTGAGAAGGGTCTGAGCTCAAAATGTCGACTTTGGTTCTCCTCATAAAGAACTAGAACGGAGCACTTTGTGCCTGAGAACTTCGAATCGAAATTGAACAACAAATCGGCTTGTAACTGAGTGCATCGCTGCACATCCGTCCGACTTGGTGCTGATCCTGATACAGACTGATATCTACTTGATAGGCCCCAGGAAATACTGTCATATCAGTTAAATTCAATAATTTCAACGGTTGATCGGAGAAAGCTACATAGTTGGACACTTTTGGTAATGAACTGGAGATAGGTGTTCGCGACCTAACCATAACGTCAGATGGCATGCTTGCGGATTCGACTTCAGCAACATCGAGCGATGCTCCAAACAACTGCGAGGTGTATTTGACACGCCAGCGCCTGTTCAGCTGTAAACACCCTTCCGGCGTCTAGCTGCCGTGCCACCCGAAGGAAGTACGAGGGCTGAGATACTGCCAGGTTGCCCAAGCCTAGACAGGGGAAGTCGAGAGGCGGAGGTAGGGTTGGAATCACGGACCTTCCGGTCGGTAAATTCGCGCTCTAACCACTTGAGCCATCTCGCCAGCGCCACCAATAACTGAAAACTGATCCTTGTTTGACTCAGCTAAAAGTAGAGCAGAAAGTAATCAAGTTGAATGTTGGTCATTTGGCGTTTCTTCTTTTGCGATCGGACGCGGGTAGTGGCTGTCATTCCTACAACCAAGCAAGAGTAATGTCGACCAGTATAACCTGCTCGTAAAAGTGTATGGACAACATCAGTCGGACTTATTGTCGGAAATTGATAAAGGCCTAGAGCTAAGGCAACCATAAGCATTCTCCGGGCATCCATTCAGACAATTAGAAAGAAAACTAACAACGGGGACACCATCAACAAAGACTAGTAGTTATGTATTTTGGCGTTGCTAGTCAAGCACAGCGAGGGTCACTCGAACTTCTTCCCAACCAGGAATTTTCGTCATCGTTTCCTTCCACCAGCTCAGAGTGAATTAACCGGAATGATCTTCAAGCATTCCCGTTTCTTCTTGTTCCTCGAAATCCTCTCACCCATCGCGTTCACCGGGCTTCAGGGTTGGTGCGCACACTGGTTTTCAAATGATTTCTGATAATCTATCGAATGTAAATGTGTTCGAGGTCCGCGTGGACAGTTTCTGAGATTCCAGAAATGCCAGTGTTCTGAATGACGCCAGCTGCACTGCGTAGCAGGTGAAGCTCTCGGTGTTATGCAAAAACACCAACTCGGGTCTCCCCAAATGCGTATTCGTATCCACCCCAAACACAAGGATATCTGAGCTTTTGGCCCGCAGTTGCAGGGCAATGATCCGGTCGGCACAAGCGTTGATGTACGAAGATGCGTTTTATCAATCTAAATGCCTTAAATAACAAACTAGCCTTCCCGGGCTAGGCTGGAGAGGTGACAAGAAACGGTGGCTGACAGGTACCGTCCAGATTTCCCGAGTGAATACCTGAGAGACGAGACGCCTCGGGTGTTTGTGTTACCTGACTTTGGTGGGCTATACGATGGAGAACATCAAAACGCTTACACCCAGCATCCAGTCGGAGATTGAGAGTACCATTACGATGAAAATAATCTCGACTGTAAGCCTAGGAAACAAATAAGCCGCGGGACAAGTCTACTCATGCGTGAGGCAAGACTGATTGACAGAATAGGCAACGTCAAGCTGAATCGTCGATCAGCTGAACACCCTTTTCGGTGCCTAGCTACCATGCCGTCCGAAGGAAGACGAGTGCTGGAATACTGCCAGACAAGAGAAGTTGGGATGCAGAGGTCGAGTTCGAACCACGGACCCACCTGTCAGTAAATCCACGCTCTAACCATTGAGCCATCTCGTCCCCTCAAGTTGCATGCACTTCAGTCGAACACACAGTACAAGGTGAACGTCAAAGGACAAGTATCACGATCGTACCTGCATAATCTGCGACTCCAACCATGTTATTTTAGATGGCATCCGTTGATAATCAATCGACGAAGCGAGCAGAAGAATTCGCGGTTCGTTGATCAGGTTAGACATGAATTTGTGCGCAGCTCGCTTGGTGAAGATCACGCCAGGGAATATTTCTGACTCCTGATTCGAATCGACAAGCAACTGGGGCGAGGAAAAGAAGCCATGGAGAAGGAAAATGAGCCACCATGACAAAGTTGGACACATCACAAGCAACACGAATGCAGCTAGAGAGCTATGGCACATAAACTTTCCAGGCTTGTGACTTTAGCGGTTATCCTGGAAAGAAATACCTACCAAGCTTGAAAACACAGCTGCAAACGTTTCGTCGTAAGTGCACGTCTGGGTGGGCAGTTCTGTCGTAAACTGGCTGTAATAGTTCATATAATCAGGCACATCAGGCACAAAACTTTCCAAGAAACCAAAGGAAAAACCAATCACATCGCTCAAGCGTGAACACGTTCACCTATTCAGACATTAAAATTCAGATACGTTCAACGTGCGTTGGTGGAGTAGTGGTCACACGCTCGCCTCACATGTCAGATGTCCGGGGTTCAAATCCCGGCACGGCCACTGGATATGCACTGCTGATGAGCTCTCATAAGAGCGAAACTCGAGTCCAGTGTTCGCCTTTCGTGTGGACTCACTGGAATAATTACGCCAGAACAGGAAGACGACCGTTCAAAAGAGAGTGGTGCGACTATGGACACAATAGAAGAACCCCAGCCGAAGAGATCGACAGAGAAACAAACGACTGGTCAATAAATCAAGGGACCGAACAAAACGATGAGTGGGAATCGAAACAGAAAGGTGTCTTATGAGCCGATCAAAAGCTTAAAAACGGATCACAGCATGGAAGAGATTGTGAATGGAGAAATCAACCCAAAAAAGTGCTGAAGGTGGACGTCCAATTGGCCAAACAACTGGAGGAAGGTGAGACTAAAAGGCAGCATATCGGACCAATCACAACAAAGGAACAAAACTGCTGAAAGGAAAGTACACAACGAGCCAATCAGGTGCGAAAGAATTAGATCGCCATGCAACACAAATTCCGAGTGAACCAGTCGAATTACCTGGAAGCCACTCATTAGACAACCAATTTTCGAAAAATGCAAAAATGCAAACAACTGCAGGGAAAAGACACCCATCCAAGCATTGAGGAATTTTCCTCGTAAGGCGATGGAACGTTTGCAAGCCATTTGTCAAGCCCAACCAAGAGATGAGCATTCACTTGATCAACAACCGACAGATGTTCCCCAAGCTCCCACGATTTCCACTAAGTGCCGAAGGGTCAGTGCCAAGATTGCCCGATTTCAAACTGGATAGTCGTGCGAATGGAAGCTATCAGGGCTTCGCCAGTCGTCGGCACGACGGCCCTGAACTCGCCTATTGGCAGGATGGAGCTTTCCCAATGAGACATCATCATCGTCATCGACAGCATGACATCAGTGTTCAACACCGATGCTTCACTGCCGTACAACCATGACTTATTTGAAAGCCTTATTGT